TTATCCACCATCATCAAACTAACAACAAAGTCATTGAATTTAGATCTTTTGACACATGTATCCTTATATATACACATACATACAGCATATGTATGTATATATATATATTGTTTTTTGAGACAGGGTTTCTCTGTGTAGTGCTGGATGTTTGAAACTGTCTTTGTATATCAGTCTGGCCTCAAACTCAATGAGCTCTGCCTGCCTCTGTGTCCCAAGTGCTTTGATTAAAGGCATGTGTTATCACCACCCATCTTTAATTATTTTTTAATGAGGAAGCACTAAAGCCTTGAAATATTTAACCTGATTACACAAGTTATTTTCTCCCTAATTGACTTTTTCTCATGTTCCGGTGGACGATTGCTTGCCTGCCTCCATCCATCTGCTCCATCCCCACACGGCATGCTCTAGTGACTCCTTGCTCCTGCATGGTGACCTTCTCCCTCTTGGGGAGCCCTATATTGCTCTCTGCACTTTACATCACAGCTATCTTTTACCTATTTGTCTTCTGAACTTTGTACTTTAATCTGCGGTGAGAGCCTGGGCTCACAACAGGTGCCCCGGGTGGTTTTCTGGTTGTTATCACGGTTGAACCTCAGACACACCTTCACACCTCTCACCAAGTTTCCAAGTCGAGGAATCTCTCAAAGGGCGCTGTCTTCTGCTCTAAGGTGAGAGAGGGTGATCCTTAGCTGAAATCTTGGCCTCTGTCTCAGATCTTCCCAGGATCAAGTCTGGTAACAACAGTCACCATTCCAGGAGAACCTAATGAACTCCACAGACAATCTTCCCGTTTTGTGAAAGGTGCTCATCAAAATGACTTTACACACATTGCTCAAAGGTCGAATGAGGTGTCTTCATGAAGTACCCAGCACATGTTGGTTGTCTAATATTGGGTGGGGCTGCCATCCTGCATCCCAAGGCCACTTCCCAGTGACAGTTAGGTGATAGTTGAAGCACTTTGTAGAGGGATCTTGAAATTATGTTAGATAAAAGAAGCAATGTGACTTATTTTCCTTCTCACAATGAGAAATTTGTGCATTTGATTTTGTTTTAAATCTAAATGTAATACAACTTCCAGGAATGATAGTGAATGAATGAATAAATGAATGAATGAATGAGGAATTAAGACCTTAAATTGACCTTGTAAGAATTAATCAGCAGGAACTCACTACATCTCAGTATGTGGTATTAAGCTAACAGAAGTCTCTATTTTTAAGACCTCCCTGTTCATAGAGCATTAGATGTGGATTTTGCATAGAAATTAGCAAGAAACACTTAAAATAGGAATTCAGCTTTACCACATTATTTATTATTGGAAATGACAGACAAGCATTCTTGTAATGACTCTTTCATTTTGGGAAGATTATTCCAAGCCACATCTCTATCTAGGGGATTAACCTGTTTTTACAATATTAGGCCTGTGAGAATTTAATATAAACCCCTTCACTCACTGTCATTTTCCGATGAATTGCAGTGGCTGGCTTGTCAAGTCTGTCTGCCGAGAATCAGCACTGCTGCCTGGTTGTGTTTTGTTCATAAAATTTCAAGGACACTATGCATGGCTGAACCTCAGAGACCTGTGCACCTTGGTCTGCATCCCAGGTCTTTCACTGTTATAATACAACTCACTGTAGCCCAGGTTAACATATGGAGTCTTCAGATAATACAAAGATTGATCAATTGATCTATCATCTATCTATCTATCTATCTATCTATCTATCATCAATCTATCTATAACCTATCTATTATCTGTCTACAAGCTATCTATATCTAGCTGTCTATATAAAATTTATCTTTCAGTCTGTCTATATCGACACATTTATCTATATCTACCTATGTCTATCATCTACTATCTATCCATCTACCTGTAATCTCTCTATGTATCTATTTGTTTGTCTGTCTATCTATCTATCACCTATCAATTATCTGTCTACCATCTATCTATGTCTGTCTATATATAATCTATCTTTCAATCTATCTATATCTACACATTTATCTATATCTACCTATCTCTATCATCTACTATCTATCCATCTACCTGTAATCTCTCTATGTATGTATGTATGTATGTATGTATGTATATATGTATGTATCTATTTATCTATCCACCCCTTTGGCCATGAAATATGCCCAAGGAGCCATGCCTCAGAATGCAGCATAGATAAATTCTGCAGTTAGAATCAAGGCCAAGAGATCAGAAGAGCAAAGAGCTCACTTTGTAGATGTCCTTTTTATCTGGACCACTACTGAAAGCCACTTTGCATGTCCAGGGTGAGTCCTTTCCATATTACTTAAGGCCATCATGATGAGGACAATTCCCTACTAAGACTCTCTTCCCAAGTGACTGTAGACTGTATGAAATTGACACGAGAACTGTCACAGTGAGGAGTAAAAATGACTGGGGGAAGATACTATCTAGTCTGTTGAGAGGCCTGAGTTGTGCAAGGAGCTTCATGAAAGCAGTTTCCATGAGTCCTTGTCATAGTTGGAGTGGACTTTGCCATGGTGCTGCTGCCTCCGAGTCATCCTGGCTCCTGTAAACAAGTCCTCATCTACACACAGTAAGCGACCACAACAAGCCCACTGATCCATCAAGTTGAGTTGGCTGTAGTCATTTGGGGGATCCGTCATTGATGCCCCATTTAAAGTGATGAAAGACATAGCAGTGGGACTGTTGGACATAGAAGTCACTGAGGGCTCATGGATGGAGCACAGTGAATGGGTGACAGCTGCCTTCTGAGTTCTTGGCATGAAGATTCTCGATGTGGCTGCTCTAGGCCCTAGAGAGTCTTTTCCGTGAGCTGAAGAATTTTGCTACCTTTGCAGTTCTTCCACATTTTTATAGTATGTACTTCACTTGTTTGGAAAAGCCATAGGAAAATAATCAAAGCATAGTCATGGTGATACAGCATATATTTCTTGCTAGGCTCTGGTGCCCAGAAGGAGAGGCCTGAGGCCAAAGAGCGATGGGAGTCCGTGAAGTAGTAATCCTATTGGCTTACAGTTTTATCCTCCAAGTTCCCTTTCTTCCTCCTAGCACCCTGTGATAATCCCAGCTTCCTTTCATGGTAAGGCTGTAGAACAAAGGTTTCCATGGAGAAGGGGTTTTCCCTCTGGGAAATCCCAGCATCTCTGTGAGATCGCAGAATCCCTCTTTCTCCCATGTCTGCCTATCCCACTGGTCTCCTACATGAAGCATGGGCAGACTATTCTACACCCGCCTCACCTGTGAGAAGACTGAGTGGTGTCCCCAATGAAGAACATGTCTGCTTTTGTTTCCTGACACTTGTGATCTTTTCCGGGTCAGTGTGGTCTGCTCTCTGTGTTTGCTTCAGGGCTACCTCAGGTTCCTTCTCAAGTCTTCATTTTCTCAAAGAGCCCCTCATTGGCTTTGCTCTTCATAACAACACACTTGGACTGTCCACCGCAGTTGTCATGGGTTCACTGCACAGGGTGGACCACGTATGACCACCAGCCAGGCACCATGCCCCACACCACCTCACTGCCAAGCAGTGAACTGGATGGCAGGAGTTCTGGCTGATTCTTTCTTTGCTTGTGTCCTCTGACTCACAACACAGGTGTCTATAGTCAATGTGAACAACCTCCAGAGCCTAGAAATATCCACTGTGCTACCTGCATCTTCTAACTCCTGGTCTGTGCGACTCTCTCTCTCTGGTAAATAAATATATTGTTTTCCCTATATAGCATTGAATATCGTTATAAGCACCTACATGCTTAGAACAACCGCCTTCATGATTTACTGGCCAAACCTCCCTGAGGCCTCCTGTGCCTCACTGCTTCTGTGCCCTGTGTTTGAGCACACACCCTCCACACCCTGTGGATGGCTGCACCTGTGCCTGCGGGACTTGGCAAGGCATCTCTTGTTAATATCTGCTGTTTTGAGACCCCTTGAAACCCTCAATACTTACATTTGCTGTCAAGGAACCCCCAAGCCCCTCAATATTTATACCTGCTTCAGAGGGTCACACATAGCACCCTGTATCTATGCCTGACCACTGAGCTGCCTCCCCGGTCCTCTGGAGACCCCGACTGCTCTGTTTCTCAAAGAACACTCATGTCACCAGGCTGCAGAAACACTTGCTTATTCTTAGTGCGCACAAGTCTGTGCTGATGGGAGCTAGCTGTTTCTCACTTTATTCCTTTGTCCCAGAATTACAAAGCTGCAAGACAGTTTTTAATCTCTTTGTCTTAAGGCATCATTTTGTCAATGGAACCAGCCTAGGAGAACTTGAATGTCTGCTGAGTAAGGTAATTTGCCTCTTCTAATTTCTCTCTCCCAAGTGGTTTGGGCATGGTAAGGAAACGGGACTCAGCCATGCTGCCTGAGGAGGACAATGTAAGGGGTGGGAGGCACAATGACTCACAAAAATCCAGCCACAACATCTTTACACCAACCCAGTGATGACCAATGACCTAAGTGAAGGAGAAAGGCCTTAATGTGTGAGAATTTATTCTATGGAAGTTTGCTCTAGATAATATTCAAGAGTTCCTATGTGTCATAGCAACTGTATGTACCTTACCCTATGTCCGGAGCATCCACAATTGTTTTGTTTGTTGGGTTTTATTTTCTGACTTGATGCTTCGTTTGACTGACAACATCTCCTTGTACAGTTCTGGGCTAGTCTAGAATTCAAAACCCTCCCATCTCAGTCTCCAAAGTTCTGGGATCATAAGTGTGAACTACCACACCTAACTCTATCTTACTTTCACATGCATTTGTTTATGAATGGATGGCAGGACATGAGCTCTATGTGGCAGCCCGAAAGCAGCTCTCAGGAGTTAGTTCTCTCCTTCCACCTCCTGGATTTTCAGGAGACAGAATTTAGGCTTTGAAGCAAGCAGCCTGACCTGTTGAGACGTCTCCCCACTCTCTTCATCCTACTCTGAGTACACACCTTTTTCCTTTTTCCATTCATCCATCACTGCAAAGTTCTTTCTTACCATTGTGACTATTATGAACAGCACTGAAGAATACTCACACATGAGGTTTTGTGTGGACTCTTAGCTTCAGTTCTCTTGTATAGTGGCATCTTGCTTTGCCTGTGAACTTGTAGTAGTGGCCACACCTTTTGGGCGTGGTTTCAAGTGCAACTGTGACCCATTATTAGGTAGAGGAGGGGCTGACTCAAGCTCTGTTGAGTTCTGGAGAGCATCGGAAGGGCAGAGACTGCATCTTCTGAATCAGGAAGACCATGATAGGTATTTTCTCTTATCTGTGTAAGTTCTTCCCTAATAAACACCTATTTATCATTTATCTTGGCCTGGTGGACTCATTTAAACTCCTGCATTCACTCTTGAGTATTTGCCCAGGAATGAAGATTTCTATACAACGAGAATCACAAAAGCAACCCTAATTCCATGCTTGGGAAATATCCATTTTAAGCAAATACTGGGATCTACAAATCTGTTGTTGCTGCAGACTGGGGTGAGGATGTAGGTGGGCTAATGTATTGAGCCATGAACTGTCTAGGGCTGGATGGAGATGATGGTTTCACATATATGCTAAATTCAGTAACCTGAAAATTTGAAAAAAATGATAAAAAGACAGTATTCTGTTTTCACAATTTTCAATTAGTTTTTTATTTTTGAGAATTTCATGCATGGGTATTGTATTCATATAATTTCTACCCATCCCTCTCCTCTCACTCCCTATAGAATTAATGATATGTTCTTTTTTATTATTGCCATTATATATTTGTATTGACATTTTATATACATACATACATAAATACACATACACATTTGTGTATGTAGGGAGGTGAATTTTATGTTCTATATAGTTCATCACAGTAAAAATTTTCTCTTTAATAAAATTGTTTTATTTAAATTTAGGTAATATCTGCCTCCCAAGTGCTGTGATTAAAGGCGTGCACAACCATCGCCAGCTGTTGAGCTTAATCTCATTGTACAATGCTTTTATTTGTAAATTAGTTAAAATCAAATGACTTTTAAAAATAAAGACCTTTAAAATAAAAAAATAAATTTAGGTAATAAATTTAGAGAACTGATAAGTTTGTCTTGTATAGATCTCATTATTAGCATACAAATAAATAAACAAAACAGATACTAATTAAAAACCAATTGCTTATACTCAGTAGGATACCTGCAAGGACATCATCTCCTGTGATGCAGCTGGACTCTGGCTTATATCACACTGTATCTTCAAGCTGGGCCCCTGGCCAATTACTGTAAGTACCTCATTAGTGACACCATAAGCAAAGGTTTACTGTGCACTCAAAATTGCTCTCGACATTACCTCATATTTTTTCGTCTTTGATGTTAGGATAATCAGGCATAGGCTGAAATGAGCCTGGCTCAATGGAAGAGAAATGGGCCAATTTCAAAAGTGATGGCCACACTTTTATTATGCTTCAAGCAAAGAAAAGAAGACTGATCTTTTGTTTCTTTCTTTGTTGCCGCAGACAAACCTGAAAACAGATGTTATTCCACTGATATCCTCATGCTATTAGTGGGGACAAAAAGAAAAAAGAAGAAAGAAAAACTCATGCTATCCACCAGGGAAAGGAGTTTAGACCACTTTACAGCCCTATGACAACACATAAACATCTCAGTAATGAAAATGGAGTCTGATGTAAAAATAACAGCCTTAGATTTTTGGACCCTGGATCTTTGACTGTAACTGTAAAGCTCATTTGCCAAAGTGCTGCTCATCTGTGAACCATATGTATTCACGCACACGGATATGGGCAGGACTCAGGCAACATCAAACAGCGTTTGACCTGGTTCACCCCTTCTCAGCCAATAAAAATGTCAGAGAACTGACATCCCCCCATGATATTTGATTTCATAGTCTCTAAAATCTAAAGTGATTATTTTCAAAAAACACAATTAAAATTCTTTGAAAGCACACATAAAACTTGCTGAAAGCTCCCGTTTTATAGCATTTATTACTCGTGAGAGCATTTTACAGTCTGCCATTTCCAGTCTTGACTCTGAGCCAAAGTTGCTAGCACACAAACAGTAGCCTGTACTGCCCACAGCCTACATCAAGCCCCATCACCCTCAAGTGGATATTAGGATTTCTTTAAATACATATTTCTCTGAGGAGGTAGAGCATGTGAGTGCTCTTGAAGGCTGCAGGATGTCAGATCTGACATTCCTCCTAGTGTTCAGTCATGGGTGACCCACTGTCACCATGATTGTCTGATTTCTGTTCCTTCAGGACCCTCAGGTACCTGTCCACTTGGGGACCATCCTCCCCTTATCTGTCACTTTTTTGTTGTTTTTTTTTCAAGACAGTGTTTCTCTGTGAAGCTTTGGAGCCTATCCTGGCACTCACTCTGTAGACCAGGCTGGTCTTGAACTCACAAAGATCCAGCTGCCTCTGCTTCCCGAGTTCCAGGATTAAAAGCATGTGCCACCACTACCCTGCTTTTCCATCATTCTTTACAAGACACACTTCACTGTAACAGCAGCAGCTCTGTCTACTGCAAAGTGGGCAAGTCACAGTCATTTCTGCATTCCAGGTCCAAGAGCTTGTCAAACCATGGTTGCTTCACTAAGCCTTATAAAGGGATCAATGTGCAAATGTCCTTTAGTTTGAGACACTTTAAGACCCTGCACCATCACAAAAATCATCAGTTTGATGCCACTCTTTGGGGTACAGACCTTCCTTTAGAGAATAGACCATCGGTTCTCAACCTTCCAAATGCTGTGACACAGTTCTTCATGTTCTGGTGACCCCCGACCATAAAAACATTTTTGTTGCTGCTTCATAACTGTACTTTTGTTGCTGTTATGAATTGTGATGTAAACACCTCTGTTTTCCAATAGTCATAAATAACCCATGTGCAAAGGCCATTCAACGTTTGGCAGGGGGGTGGCGGGCGGGGGACATAAGCTACAGGTTGAGAACCATTGGTATAATCTATTCTCCAGCTGTGTTCACTGATTGTCTGCCATAACTTACGTCAGTGTCTGTGGATCTGTCTGTTCTCCCTCCCTTCTCCATGTCTTTCTGTATCCTTTTCAACTATGTATGTGAGTGTGTCTGCTTATTTTTGCATATGTATCAGGGGTTTGGCTGACATAAAAGAATTCATTTACACGAGTCTGTCTTCCACTCACTCTGACTGAAGCATCAGAGAAATTAAGGCTATTTGTGTAATATCTTATATGAGAAGTATGAGTGCAGCTTTTGGTGGGTTTGCAATGGTTGATTTCAGTGTCATTGCAGGTGGCCTGACGTACACCCAGATATCCTTTTAGACATTCCTAATATGGTCACATCAGTTGCTTCTGTAAGGTTCACATTTGAATCAGCAAGGGAAGAACACAGACAGTGTGACTGGGCATCATCCAGTTGGGGACTGGAATAGGAAAGGAAAACAGTAGGGTGACTATCTGCATGGAATCAAATGTCCATTTCCTTCTCTCCATGGACATCTTGGTCTCTGAGTCTTACACCATCCAATCTGGAAGAATTATAGCTCTGAGAGCTTTGGTTTGTCAGCTCCAGCAGATGGTGGGATTTCTGTATCTGCTTAATCATGTCAGCCAATTCACATTTCTCTCTCTCTCTCTCTCTCTCTCTCTCTCTCTCTCTCTCTCTGTGTGTGTGTGTGTGTGTGTGTGTGTGTGTGTGTGTGTGTGTGTCTGTCTGTCTGCCTGTCACCTTCTCTCTCCCATCATGTGTTGTTTGTTTGGAGAACCCTGACATTTATTTACGAGCAAAGGACAGCCCATAGTCTCTTCCTGTGCAGTGGAGGATAATAACCAGGCTAACTCCTCCTCTTTTCTTAAACTGAGATTATTTTGTGAGGGTTATATACCCCAGTGTGAGTCATGCCTCAGAACAGCACAGTGGAACAGAGAGTGTGTGCCTTGGGATCAGCCTTCCTAGGTGGCAGCAGGCTCAGACCTGTGTGCAAGTGGTGACTGCAACTGGATTGAGTAACTGAGTAGGTAGAGAAAAAAGAGAGTAATGAATCAGTCACCATGGAAGCCTATTTTGTTTCTCACATCTACCCCAAATCAACACGAACATCAAAATATAAAGATACAACTAAAGCCCATTCCTCTCACATTTCACCCATATTTTAACATAATAGAAATCATAGAAATCCAGCCTGTCTGATTGCAGAATGCAAATTATTAAACAGTGGTAAGTTAGAGGAAAAACACGCCTTAGAAACTGACTCATACCCTCTTTGTCGCTCTGGAAAGCCTAAATTCAAAACTTAAATATTAACATGACCTCACTGTGTCTTTCTGTAGATGCTGTGTAAGTCAAATAACATTACACACAATAAAGCAAACATAAAAAATTTATATACTAGGAACATCTAATTCAGCTTTGAGATCACAAGCTAAAAGACATGTAAAATATAAGATTTTCTTCAGAACGAGGTACAGAAAGGCTTCATGGGCTACAGTAGCACAATCTACTACAGAATGTTGTTCCTGGAGTCTTCCAGGCTCTTTGTCACAGTCTTTAAACATTTTGAATGACAACTCTGAGTCTTGGGGCCAACAAGACAGACTGACAGCTCACTATAGAGATTTTATACCTAAAGATGCAGACAGAAACAAAAGCTCAGCATTCAGAGTGCTTTTGGGACCAACTATTTTCTCTCTCAAACAGAACCACAAACCATTTGATGTGAATGTGAGCAGTTCCATAAAGCCCACAGTGTCAAAACATCTAAAATATACAGCTAATTTAACCTAAGTATTTAATTCTTTTGGATTTTAGAAACACCAAGTGGTCATCTCCATCTTCCTGAAAATTGCCTCACACACTTAATCATTCACATGACTTTCCAAGTGGTCCACAGAGGAGGGTGTAAAGAGACAGTTCTTGGCGTGGTGTTTACACGTGCAATGTCATCTTCTAAAGTGGAGAAGGCATACCAACAAGACCGACACACAGGACCTGTGCTCCACACAGTGGCAAACAGCAATCTCCAGTCATGAACAGTAGAGCTTTCCTGAGAAGATCAACATGAAGCCCAGATCCATGCAGAGAGATGCTGGCCACCTGGCCCTATCCAGACCGGGGACAAGCATGAGAGGTCGAGAAGGGAAGTCGCCACCTCCCTTCCCCCTGCCTCAGTGAGACACTGTCTGGTATGAAGCGGTGAGTCGCTCTGGATAGGAGGAGTTGCTGAGAGAATTCAAAAGAAACTGAGCAAACACTGCCTGCGCCCTCCCAGAGAGTGAGGAGAATCCAGGAGCTCTCCGTCCACCCTCACCAGCCACCAGGCAGCAGCCTTGCAAACACTGTAGAAAGCACACAGGACTGCATGAGGCAAACACATGATCAGTTTGTCCCTGATGAAAAAGGTGCCTTTCAAGAAAACTGCATCAGCCTGTCAGAAGAGCAAACACAAAACAATGGGGAACAAGTGAGGTCATCCCAAGAGCTGCTCCGGTTAAGTGTAGGTAAATGGGCTTTCATTAACACCGACACCTCCTGATTGTCCCCAAAGGAGATAATTGATACTGAAAGTAAAAACAGGAAGAGCTACACACTTAAGCACAGGTATACAGAGTTGTACAAATGCATACACACTCAGCACATGTATATACATGCATGCATACACACAGCTTGTGTGCATACAGAATATGCATACACACAGTGCATGTATACACACATGTGTACACATACACCTACATGTATACATATGTACAGCTCATGTACATATAGTACATTTACACATAGCACACATATACACACAACATACACAGCAATGTACACACAACATATGTATACACATACATGTGTACACATACATACACATACACACAGCAATGTACACATGGCACATGTACATATATGTATACACATACATGTGCACACATATTCACAGCTCATGTACACACTGCACATGTACATACACACAGCACACATGTACATATACAACATATATACATACACAGCAGATAAGACACATACACACATACATATATATACATATACACAACCTATACAACACACATATATTCTGACAACATACACAGCACGCATACACTATATATACACATACATACACATAAGACACATACACAAACTCTCAGGAAGTAAAATGAAATTCACATTTCAGAATCTCATATTCTAACCTGAGGAAAGTCTCTTCTTGACTTGGTAGCGGTTAGCTGAAAGGGTAATCTGGCGTTTGTGACCTCAGTGTTTCTCGCATAGCCAACTCTCCAATAAGCAAGGCATGGGCAGTTGTTAGCTTATCTATCTTACCTATTGTCACCTGACTCTAGGGATGGAATCATCTACTCTCCACTGTTGGCTGCCCACCCTCATCCTGTTGCACAAGCCAGAATACCAGGAAATCTGAAGTCAAATGGCATTTTCTAGAAACTGCTGCACAAACAGACTGGGAAAACAGCAATATCAATGGATATATCTTGCGAGAGGGAGAGATTTTACAGCATCTCACCTCTAGACAAAGAATTACAGTCAACTGATGACTGCTAGGGGACAGAGAATTAGCCTCTT